TCGATGGTTGTTAGTGAGACCATTCTGGTGTTGCATTGGTATATTCTTATAATTTATACAATATGCTGCTTAGTTTAAAGTGTGGTCGTGTGTAAGAGTTTAAAAAAACATATAGTAGTGAAATGGATTGATGTGTATGTTAGGTGTAGATGTGTATTGCAACAGAAGGTTGCCTAAGAAAGTAGGAACAACAGAAGGTTGCTCCTCAAGGTGACTTCCGTTGGCACCGAGTTAACCCGACCTAAATAAAATCCAGTGAATGTTTTTATGTTCGGTCCGAACAAATTCGGCCAATTCTCTAATTCATTGATTTCTTTACTAACGGATTTCGCTCCTTTTCATTTATGCACATGGCAGCTGATTTACCCTTTTGGTAGGCATAAGATCGTCTGGGCATGGTGTTTCTTTTTTCTAAGAACATATCTAGGCGACTCTCGATCATAAGATTGAGAGTTTTAGCCAATACCGAGATGAGGGAGATAGGTCGATAGTTTTGATAGATATGGGTATCCTTACCCCTCTTTGGGATGCGAATGACTCTGATTGTATGCCATTGATCAGGGACTCGACATTCTGTAAATAACCTGTTGTATTCTTGTAAAAGATTATTCAGTGCTTGGCTCCTGAGGGCTCTTATCATGTCATATGTAATTCTATCTATTCCTCCCGCAGTGTTTCTGCCCCTATTGAGAACAGCAGACATGTCACTTAAGTTAAAGGGATCATTTCTTTCCTTTCTATGTAGACCTTATTCCCTTCATATTCACCCTATTCGCTACCGTCATCCCCTTTAATTTCCTTTGGATAAGGAATAATAATTTGTTTCGGGCTCGAAATGTTCTCAACCACTATTGTTCGTAAATCTCTTTTTTAAGTTGATTTTTATTCAAGTCTCTTCAGAAAGTATTCGCTCTCGCGAAAGCATTTGATGCGGGCAAAATAAGGCCATTTCAGAATGAAACAGTGTGACAGCGGGTTTATCGATCAAATATATAACCTGACCCTCAAAAATATACCGAATATACCGAAGAATTGACTAAATATACCACAAAAATACCGAGGAAAAACGAACTTAAGGCCCACTTATCCCGGATTTATCACATAATGTGGTGCATACTCCATGGATTGATGTCCTCCAAGCTCAATATCCAAACTAAAATAACACACTCCTCTTGCTTTCATACAAAAAGTGTAATTCAGCATGCCCCTGGATCATACTAGGTACAGAGCGAAATACATGTACAGGCAGTTTCTGTCCCAAGAAATTTTGCGCGTCTGTACTGGGCTTAAAACGGATATATCCGATCCAGCGGTGTGAAGATGCAATCAACATGTTTTTATCCGCTTATAAATTAATATAACGAGTAACGAGTATAAAATAATTAATTAATTAATGAATCGAATCAATGAATACGAATAGCATCCCTGACTTGTTAGACAAAAATGTATCTAATCTGCGTGCTTTCAGTTAACAAAATTATATCACCATAGGTTTTTCCCTAAACGGCTCTAAACGGTTGTGTAAAACTGTTCTTGTTTGTTGATCGGAAATTATGTTCCTCGATATTGATTTTAGTTGTTAACTTATTTACTGGCACGCGAAGACTCTCAGCCCTGAAATTCCGGTTGTAGAAACAATCTTTCACAAGATTGGCTGCATATTTCTTGGGGATACTTTTGCGGACTGGTGGAAAAACGAAAAATGATAAACACAGTTATTTTATTGGTTATTTCTCATCGTTACATCAGAATCACCTGCACCTTTGATTCTACTTGCACGTTCATCGGTGCTCAGGGTGGCTTCAAGAAAAATATCGATACTTATATATACTATACCTAATTGTTTATGATCGTCTGGCAGCTCTGCAGCGAATCGAGCGCGAAATGCGGGACAGCCGGGACCAGCGAAATATACAAATTTGTATCTTTATAAATATTTTTGTTCGTATATGACAAACCTCATGCTTGAACGCATATTGTCCAGTTGGGGTACTGAAATTGATAATTGTATATTCTATATAGTTTTTATGGTATACTGTTTATCAAAGAGATGTGCGTGTTTTAGTAGATAAACATTATTGAACGATACGCTAATTATGCGGTACATTTTTTACTTAATTGTGAAATTGTATCCAAACGTTTGGCATGGGTGTGCCAGCTTCGAATGAGAACACTTGAGAGTCTCTCCATGCACAAAAACCTGATATTGAAATTAGCCAAAGTAATCACAAATCGGTCCCCCCCCACAGCCACTCATGATTATCTTCTGGCCTGCCCACACGATCTGCGCAGTTTGTTTTTTGAGGCATCAATTAAGCTTTATTCTCTCACTCTCGCTCCCCACTATATGTAAGTAAGTATACTAAAAACAACGAAAAGTAATCCATGGTTCGGTTTTAGGTGGGTTGATTTAACTATTTCAACATTTCTTTAGGCTTTGCAACAGCAAACATTTTACGAGTATTGTGGAAAAGGATTGTAAATAAATCGATTGAATCGGATATCTGCCGCCTGCGATTTGCGATAAGAACGCTATCATGCACTGCCCGTCCATTGGGGCGGAACGGGCACTGCTGCCACCGCTGCCATCGCTGCCACTGGTGCTCTACGGGTACTCTTATTGTTTGTTTGTTGCTGAGTGGCGCTCTCACACACTAGACCAGCTCTCCCGGGAAGTGGATATTTCACGGGTAGGCTACAAGTAGCGCTCAATAAACGGGGGAGCCGCACAAACGCTTTGTAGACTTCAGTGCGCGCGGACACCATTTACAACAGAAGGTATATTAATAATGATTCTGATTACTTTGGCCCTGGGGCTGGCGACGGTCGGTCTGCTGTACTTGCTGATGACCTGGAACTTTGACCACTGGCGCAAGCGTAGGGTGCCGGGACCCAAGCCAAAGGTTCCAACTGGCAATTATCCCAACATGTACACCATGAAGCGAAATGCAATCTACGACATCAATGACATCTATGTGTAAGTGGCAGATCCTACCCATTTGTATCTATGGTTACCGCTCTATGGTCCTGCAGGAAGTACAAGAACAAATACGATGCTGTGGGTGTATTCGGTGGACGTGTGCCACAGCTGCTGGTGGTTAATCCGGAACTGGGACGTCGTGTGTTTGTCTCGGACTTTAAGCACTTCCACGACAACGAGGTGTCCAAAATGATCGACGAGAAGACCGACTTCATCTTTGCCAATAATCCATTCTCGCTGACCGGCGAGAATTGGAAGCAGCGTCGCGCCGATGTAACCCCAGGTCTGACCATGAGTCGAGTGAGTTGAATCAGCATAGTCCGCCTCCTGCCAGTACTCTCAACATATTCCAATGTTAGATTAAAACGGTCTATCCAGTGACGAACAAGGTGTGCCAGAAGCTGAGTCAGTGGGTGGACAAGCAGATACGCCTGGGTGCACCCGAGGGCATCAATGCCAAGGATGTAAGTACTCCCGCACCCAATTCACAGTACCATTAAGTTTATGTCCATCTGCAGATGAGTCTCTGCTTCACCTCTGAGATGGTCACCGACTGTGTGCTGGGGCTCAGTGCCGAGAGCTTCTCGGATAATCCCACACCCATTATGGGCCACATCAAGGATCTGTTCAACCAGCCGTGGACCTTCCTCCTATATTTTGTGGCCGTCAGCACTTTCCCCTGCCTGAGCCGCCTGATCAAGCTGCGCTTTGTGCCGCCCAAGGTGGAACAGTTCTTTGTCGGGCTCATGGAGAACGCTGTGCAGACACGGCGTGCCCAATTGGCTGGTGGGAAGCAATTTGAGCGCACGGACTTCCTCGACTATATGCTGCAGCTGGCCGAGAAGCGGCACCTGAACACACGCCAGCTGTTGACGCACACCATGACCTTCCTGCTGGATGGGTTTGAGACGACGGCCTCAGTGCTCGCCCACATGCTGTTGCTGCTGGGACGCAATCCTGAAGCGCAGCAGCGCTTGCGAGAGGAGATCCGTGCTCATGTCAAGGATGGCATTGTCACTTTCGAGAAGCTAAATGAATTGCCCTTCCTCGATGCTTGTGTGCAAGGTGAGAGCACCTTCTGCCCTATGGTTTTATATGCGTGTGAATTTCTTGTACTTCCCATCTCCAGAAACGATTCGCATCTTCCCACCCGCCTTCATGTCCATCAAACTCTGCACCGAGGCCATTGAGCTGCCCAACAAGGATGGCCCCAATTTCACTGTGGATGTGGGCACCAGCGTTGTGGTACCCCACTACTGCTTCATGCTAGACGAGGACTATTTCCCCGAAGCGCAGTCCTTCCAGCCCGATCGTTTTATGGAGCCCGATGCGGCCAAGAAGTTCCGCGAAAGTGGCACCTTCATGGGATTCGGTGATGGTCCACGCGTCTGTATTGGTGAGTAAAGCTCAGAGGATCACTTGAGGAATAAAATGAATACCTAATGCATATTATTCCCTAAAATGTACGTGCATCTGTATATAGGAATGCGCTTTGCCATGGCTCAGATCAAGGCGGCTGCCGTTGAGCTAATAACAAAGTACAATGTCAAGGTGAACCCGAAGACTCGCAAAGACAACCTCTATGATCCCGTGAGCTTTATTACTAGCTTGCAAGGTGGCATCTGGTTAGACCTCGAGGCGCTTTGAATGTCGCAAGCCCCACCCACCCAAACCACCGATGGTCAACCGCTTTTCGCTCTGTATCTATTAATATATTTGTGTGCGTATTTTTGTTTGAATAAATATAATGAGTGTCAATTAGGGAAATTGCTGAGTGCTGATACAATTTAATGAGAGGGGCAAACGTTTATGCGAGTAATTGGTGTTGCTGTTGATTTATTTTATGTAGATTTGCCAGCCATTAATAGTGCATTCATTTGTATGTGTATTCCTCGTACCTCGTGTCGTACCGACACAACATCTGACATCCGAATATGTTCAAATAATCAACTAAAGATTAGGCATTGAAGAGACTTGATAAGTAAGATTGTGACTTTGAAAGATTACAAACAGATTTATTCAGTTTCCACATAAAACATTTAATATACTTGTAGGTAAATATAGTTTTTTCTTTTCACCATTACCCTATGGTATTCATTCACAATCAAATTTTCACATTAAGTTTATAGCTATATAAGTTATAGGTCTATGGGGCTGATCAATGAATGTTGGTCGAAAAGGACTTTCAAAAGGATCGATCAGCCCCCAATAAGGAACTGGTAAACCGGTATACTCTACATAGTAATGTAATATATACATAAATATATGGTTCTTCTGCATATAACATAAACTTTACAGCATAAATGTAATTGAGCTTTATCTGTTACAGTGGGCATGGTCGATCCAATAGAAGCATTTAATAGTATTCAGAGCCGTGATTGGTGAGCTAAATATCATCGGTAGCGAAGAGAACTGTCAAAGAGAGCTGTAATCGTGAAGAAAGTGCAAGATTAAATGTCGGAATCATTTGAAACATTTCATATTTACCAATATAAGTTACATCGCAAGTGCATCCTTTTGGCATACCATTCTGTTGTTCTCTATTCCCAAGCGAGTTGCACCACAGACATCAACCCATCTTCTCATGCAGCACCACTACCTTACAAAAAATTGCATAAAAAACAAATGGCTTAGGCTAAAAGCTTATTTACTTACTTCTGTAGCTGTGTGATGACTTTTCTGCTTAAAGATTTGAGTGCTTTGGGCATTTCTCTGTATAGATATTATCCAGAATGGTATCCGTACTGCCCGTAAATAACTTATTACTTACTCTCTCTCTGTCTCTCTCTCTCTCTCCCTCTCTCGCTCTCTGCATATTTGCTGTGGCTATTTGCAGGATCATTTCATTATTTCTAAACTTAATATATACCTTAGATATTACATCTTTTGTAAGCTCTATTTTATATATTTAAATAAATCTTAAGAAAAACGTTGTAGCCAACAGTGCGGAGACTTAATTTTGGACACTTTTATTATCAAAAATAAAATATATGAAGTAAAGAATAGAATCGAACAGAATAGAGGAGTTTGTATACTGGTTTATTCAATTTGACTTTGACGAGTTTTGCTGCATTACGCCCTTCTCCTTGGCATTTTTTCGTGGCAGCTGAGCGCCCGAGCAACGAGCCCTTGCGCAGAGAGGTCTGTCTGTGGTCTCTTTGGTGCCCTCTTGAACCTTATCCAGCGGATTCGAAAATGGTGGTGGGGTGGTATTGGTTGGACTAAGGACTATAGAGTCTGATAAATACTCGTAGTCAATTATGAAAATATAGGCATCGACTTATGACCGAACCAATACAAATGAACCAAAACGTCTGACATTGATTGGAAGCATACATAAGTCCTTAGAGGAGTCAAGATTCTGAGCAACACGGATAGCTAGTGTTCAAGTCAAAGATGGATAGATGAGCTTCATCAAGCAACCAAAGCGTGCACGCGCTTCTGTTGCATGGTGAAACTCCTCTCTCCACCTCAAACTCAAACACTATCTATCGGTGGTACCTAGAATCTTGACTGCCCCAAGGCCTGTGCTACCAACTCAATATAGGAGTGCGCTTGTATGCATGAAGGACTCAAGTCCAGAGAAGGAAGTGGGAGTTTATGGTAGATGAACAGTTAGCGGTGCAGTCAAAGGTGGAGAGTAAAATGGCCCCAAGCAATGGAAAACGTTTTCGTTTTAATTACTCAGTGCGATTCTTCTCTCCAACTCCGACGCCAACACTTACTGTTCAAATACCATCGACTCCACCCCAAGAGTTTCCATTACTTGAGCCAACACCAATACTCATATTGTTAAGGTTACAGCCATCGAGTAGAATGACTACCCATAAATGGGGATGGAGTACCGGTCTTGGAAACGCATAGAAGCAGTAGAGCACTGACAGTCAGTGTTGCTGTTAGCTGTAGAGAGTAAAACTCCAACTGAAAACCAAAGCATTGTCTTTGGGTGCGTGCTGAGATTTTTCTCTCCATCTTTTACTCCAACACCAACTGTAAATGCTCCTAAGACTTTATGCTAACATATTCCCACAGCTGATACAATACAATCGTTGAGGAAATAAAATGCCATTCCATTTAAAGTTAAAGTTACTCTTTTGAAGAATTGAAAACCAATTGAATTTATCAGAGATAAGCTTGCATTTTCCCATATTACTTGAGAGTAATACACCTTGTTTTGAAGCGCCTTGTAGTTCTGAAAAGCCAAGAAACGCAGCTATCAATGGGCTTTAAAAACTTTATAGATGAAGCCTGCTGTCTCCATTTGAAATCTTCATATTTCAAAGACGGTAAGCATCAGCTATACAGTTTTTAGAAACCAATCGATAGCTGCATTCATAAGCTTTTCAGAACTTCAAAGTGCTGCAACACAAGGTGTAGTATACCCAAGTCATATGGGAAAACGAAAAATAAACATTAAAAAAATACAGTTTTTTTGTCTTGAATTTTTCAAGATGAAAAACAGAATTAATCAAAAAATCTTGTTAGGAAGAGTTTGGTTTGATGGCAGAAAAAAATCAGAAGAACATTTTGTCAACCATTGTTATATATGTAAAGATCACAGGTCCTGCAGGCAGTTGAACACTGGGCCACACTGACAGGTTCAAGTCAGAGCTCCATCTTTGAGTATAATGACAGCAGTCAACGAAAGCTCTACTTTAGTTGAACGCTGCTATTCTACACTCCATCTCAAACCAGAACACTAACTGTCATTGTCCCTCAGAATCCAACTGCCTCAAGACCTGTAATCCAAATGAAAGTCTGTACAATTTTGTAGAGTATTTAAAAAAAAAGTTTGGAAACCAGCTATTCCCAAAATGAATTACGTATCTTAAAAGTTCAAATATTGAAAAGAAGCTCTGGAATTTAATGTCAAACCCAGTTAACTATTAATCATTTTCGGGGCATATGTAGTTATTGTATTTCTGAAATACTCGTGCACAAAATTTTCTTCTACTTCGAAGACGAAGGAGAGACAAAGAAGGAAATTGAAGGACACGGAAGCCAAGAAGGAACCACACAAGAAGAAACTATAGACAGGCCCCTCAAGCACACAAAAATGGCTCTCCAGCTAACTCGCTCTGCATTGCGAATTTTGTACATAGGAGCCTCCCACTACATGGTGGAGCGCATTTTGCATCGCATAAAGATTGGAATAAAATCTTATTGTTCCCTCGCTTTTGCGGTCATCGCTGTGCTTGGACCATTCGATCTTATCGAGGACCATGATAACCGACCAATAGTTCTGTCATCACACCTTAGGCAACTGGACCCCAATCGTTTTATTGTAAACTAAAATCCGAAACATTTTTGGCCATCTATTTATCAGAAATTCTCGATGTATATTAGTGACAAAAATTGTCCACAAAATTGTGTCGAAGAATTTAAATTTTGAACTATTTTGAAAGGGCAGAAATGTAATAAAGAAAAATGTAATGCAGTTATTGAAACTCAAATTAAGCCAAATATACATAACTTTTAGTTTGTGTTGTGGAATGCGGCTTAGAGGGAATAAAGAGTATTCCGGATATTGCTCTTTGCAGAATAAGATTAAAAAAGGAATAGAGAAGATATTCTGTGCTTTAAAATTTGCAGAAATTTCAAAGTATAGAGTATTGGGTTTTAAAGAAAATGTGTGTGATGGAATGTGGTTCTCAAATGTGAAATGTGTAATATGAGAGTCGTTCGTATCTACATACATATTTAAAATGTTAAGCGTAAAATTCACCCTTTTCATGCACATACATTTGTATGTATGTACATATGTGCTATGGAATAGTAATTCAAGTGTGCAAATTGTTGAGTACGTTTCTAGAACGGACTAGTTTAGATGCTCGTTAAATTAGATAAATATGTACATACATTGCATATATGTAGTACTTATTCTCATACACATTTAATTGTGTTTTCTTAGAGCAAGATTTTTTGTATAAATATGTTACTATGATACTTTTTGTGCACTTAAGTAATTTATAAAATATATATAGTATTAAAAGAAATGCTTATAATTAAATTTAAAAAAATGTATTAATGTAAATATATTGTGCAAAAATTGAAATGTGCAGTGTAGACTTTATAGTTTCGATGCTCGTTAAATTAGATAAACATGTACATACATTGCATATATGTGGAATAAGTATAAGTATACCCATTTAATCGTGTTTTCTTAGAGCAAGATTTTTTTGTATATAATTATTGTATAAATATGTTAGTTTGATACTTTTTGTGCACTTAAGTAATTTATAAAATATATATAGTATTAAAAGAAATGCTTATAATTAAATAAAAAATATGTATTAATGTAAATATCTTGTGAAAAAATTGAAATGTGCTGTGTAGACTTTATATGTATATAATAAAATATATATTTACATATACAACACTACTCGACAAAACCTAGCTCTTTTTTTCTTAAAGGAACCAAAGCATTAACTATTTTTAATGATACTTTTTTTCTATGGCAGAACTTCTGTTTTAAGAATTTGAAAAAAGGGTTACTTTTATTAATACTTTTTTCAGAGGTAGCGGTTCCTTTTTTCACATAACTTACAACTTTTCTGAATGGTAAAGTTCATTAAAACCAGATGCAAGAGACTTAAATTGTGTGAAAAACATTTGCTACATCTAAAATTAAAACAGATCTGCCTAAAGAAAAAAAAAAATCATTTCAGATGTTGGTTTGGTTCCTTGAGGAAAAATCGTGTCGGGTAGTATATATGTATATGGATATCTGTACATACATATGTATGCAAATGCTTCTTAATTATGGTATTAATATTAAGTGCAAAATGTGCAAAAGAAAGAATTATAGCTAAATTGTTGATTAAATGGAATTATAAACTATTGAGGCTGTAAGCCAAAAATGTAGAAATGCTTTTGCTTAAAGAACATGAAGAAAAATGCTTGAAGTTATTAAATGATTATGAAGTAACAGGATGTTAAATACTTTATTTACAAAAAAATATTTGAAGGAAAAAAATCAAACAAAAAAGTGTACCGTGCGGATATATATGCATGTATGTATGTGCGATTTTGTAGTGCTGGTGTAGTGTTGATTGAGAAGGAGGAAACTGACCTAAAGAGAATTTAAAAATACGAGCACCTATAATATAATAGCACAAACCATCCGAACGCCATGAAAGCTCAGGTATTCATATTTGATGGCTTAAATGCTTGAGTATACACGAACAGGCTGGTTCAAATTGAACACAAAATTAACAATTATCGAATACTTACAAAAAAAATGTAATATTACTTAACTATAGTAGAAATAATAGACTATACACTATGGCACCTGTTGGCTTACAAATATGCGAATTTTATAGTGCTTGTATCAACTAGTATCAACATTCACCAGAGCTCTTGCAAGAAATATGTGGAAATATAGCCAAAATCCCTATGATTACACATAGTATAAAGATGTAATAATTTCTATGAAATCCTTAAAATATGTCAAATTTACATTTATACACGCGTATGCACCCTAGATTAATATGACTTAAATTTTGAATAAATTGAATTTCATAATGCGTTTAGGCCCGCGTGCACTGTGTACTTGCAGTATCTATGGACACAAATCCCACGTCGACACATACCGGGGGGTCATCCAATGCTCCGCAATTTTGCAGCATGTGGGAGGACCCCCCTACCTTCCCCTCACCCCTTTTGCTGTTTGGCGTTTCTGTTTCTACTGCTGCTGTTGTCTGTAATTTCGGATTGTGGTTTCAGTAGCTGAGAATTGGGTGATAAGTGGTGATGTGGGTTTGAATGTGGATTGGGGGAAACTTTTAGCTTCCTAAAATAGTCTGCAAAATTGTCTTAAGCTAATTAATGTATACATATTTTATTATATTGTGACACTCACTTTTTTATTTTTTTAATGCACAACTTGTAGAGTTTCCATTTGAAATGTTTTGTTAACATGGGATCAAATATGTGGTCTGTAAGTATTTTACGTCAGTCTTTGGTGACAGGTACATTAACATTTGTACATATGTACATAGGACTAGACGAATAATACTTACGTTTTGATTTCTTGGTGTGCTCATAGGAATTTACATATACCGAGTAGGGCTCGTGAACGAAAACTTCCATCGTTGGAAATTTTGTCGGAATATTTTAAAATTTCGTATGTATTGTCTTGAATTTTTTTAAATGTGATCGGGTCTACATTCATTTGCACAGGACGGACACTCACTGGTGAAGAATTTTCGCTTCGGCAGAACTCTGACTTTTGTTCTTCATTTGTTCACTTGTTGCACATTCGCATTTAAAAAAGTTTAATTGCACCTCATACGCACTACGCTTGGACAGTTGTTGAAATGTGTCCTTTTTTAATTTTTTGATCGAATTCACTTGATTTCATCTATTTTTCATTGGGGATTTATTGCGTGATGCATTTTTGGGACTGCAATCTTTCTGAAACCACGTGTTGTTTGTTATGCAAGAGCTTTACTTTGAATATTACATTAATGGAACTTCATTGGCCATTATGGTGAGATTTTACATTTCCGCCGCACAGATAAAAGCTTCGTTTCAAGTTTCGGTAACCGTTAAAATTGTTCGTTGTTCACGGCGAAAAAGAGGTGAAAAGCTCTGCTTTCCTCGAGACTCTGCATCTGAATGAAGGCTGGCCCTGGGGCCTTCGCCCGCACAGAGAGTATTACAGTATTACTCTTTTCTATATGTATGGTGATTCTGATTCTCCATATTCATACAAATGTGTGTGTCCATATGTGTGTATGTATACGACGACGACGTCGACGCATCTAACGCAAACGCCTAATAACAGAATCAAATTTCGCGCTCGGTACAGAGTTCGGGGAGCAGGGGGCACTGGGTGCGGGGTGTGCCCAAAAAGCTGGCGCTGCACTTCTTGAATGTGTTATAATTGTGCCGCGTAACGCGTTTGGAATATACAATTTTTCGTAGGGATTGTGGTTTGGGCTTTGAAAGAAAAGAAGGGAAATAAATGTATAAAAATTAATCATAATTAAACTAAGATTTAAGTAGTTTAAATTTGAGTTTTTCAACTTATTCCGATCACAGTTGTTTGATGGAGTTTTTAATTAACAAAATTTTAATTATTTCAATGTTATGAGAAAAGATTGGGTTTAGTTTATATAATTTCAAATTGAATAGAAACCACATTTTATTGTTTAAGCTTATGAATATTAAGGAGTTAATAAATTCATTGGTTTAACTTTAAGCAATGAAGTCACTTAAATAAAATCTCTTTATTCTGAACTCCGAATGATGGATAATAAAATAATCAAAAAAAAAACAAAAAGGATTTAAGTAATCGTAATCAGCCATTTGCTTGTATCGATTTCGAATTTTTTATCCGTAGTTGGATCTGGTTTAATTATTTTTATTTATAGCACAACATTTTATATTTAATGTTCTGATTTTATTTATTTATGCTCCTTATGACCATGATCCTTTTGATCCTTTTGATCCTTTTGATCATTTGGTCACTGAATTTTCAAAACTAGTTTCTTGGTAAATTAAAATATTTTTGGAATTTTTCTCTGTTTAATTTTTTTTTAGAGTTGAATTTTGCTGTTTGAATATATTTTTTTGAAATATGTTTGAAGGATATTTTTGGATTTTTTCAAGTATTTTATTCATCATTTATGTTTCACTTTTCTATTATTAAACACGATATTTTCACAGTCAAGGAAGTTTAACTTTGGTTGAAGCTCGGAACTGAATTGAATTTATTCGTAGCCTTTTGCATAGTTGAAACCTCGGCTTTGGCCAAGCAGCGGCCTATGTGAAAAGAGTTCTACAGAGACTATACAGTGTGCGCCATCAAAATAGCGCTGCCCTTTAACACTTTTGATATTTGAGGACTATAATGATGAAAAGTATAAAGAGAAGTTTTAATCGTTTTTTGATTCAAAGTTCTAAAAAATGAATGAAAATATAAATTTGTAGTAGTTTTTCATATCTTTTAAGTTGTGTTATTAAGTATCCTTGGGCAAAAGAATTGAAGAGCAAAAAGAGGCGCTAATGTGATGACGCGTTGCGTACGGTCTTATGTATAACTCCAAAACTCTCTCTCTCTCTCACTGAGCGCTCAGACGATATCTCTATGATTATACCCTGTACTCACAAGTACTGGGGTGTGTTAGATTCGTGGAAATTAGGCATGTTCGATCTAATAAAGTGTATGTTAGCGTATTTTTGGGCAGCACTACTCGATAGCTTATAGCCAGATGTACATCAAATCATTAAGACATTGTTAGCCTGGAGTCCTGGTTTTGCGAGATCTCTTTTACCTTCTCTCACAGAGTAGCTAAGTAGTAAACATGACACCACTCCTTCCTACCATAGCTCTTTGAATAAGCCTGCTCCGACTCTA